TGCTGGGACTGTGATCCCCACGGTGCAGCAAGCACCAGCATCGACCCCGGCACCGCAGACGAGCATCTGCACCGTACAGCCCTCTGCACCGCAGCCTGCACCGGCACAGCCTCCAGCTCCCACGGCACCGCTGATTCAGCAGGGCAGCCATTCGACCGGGGCTACACCACTCCAAACGGCACCGTCTTCCCCCATTGATCATTCGGTGCCAACTGAGTCCCTACACAGGTCAAGGCGTGTCCGAACTCCTTCCCTCACGCCTGACCGAGCTGGTTTCTCTCCGGGTCCCTGGTCTCCAGCTTCATCTTGTTCGGAGAACCGCCATGCTTCCCGTTATGGCTCCACTAGGGATCACTACCATAGATCACCTCGTCGATCACCTCATCGATCACCATCATGTCGTCACTACCGCTGCCGCGATGAACGGCGCTACTCCTGCTATTCTCATTCACCGTCCCGTCTTTCTGGTAGATCTATCTCACCAAGATCCTTGAGACGCTCGAGATATTCACACCGATACGATGCGCCCAGAGCCTACTCTCCCAGGAGCCCCTCGGTGCACCGTCAGAGATATGATCATTACTATGATGACCGCCTACCTTCTCATAGCACGCGATACCCGCGCGCACCGTCTCCCCAACATACTAGTCCAGTGCCTCTGCTTCACGCTCCTTTGCCAGCTGTTCCATCAGCACCTGCGGAGGACATTGTCTCAGTTTCGAATCAGGACGAGCACGAGGACAACTATACACCGAACAGGGAACCACAGACCCCAGGGTCTCCGGCCAACCATTCATCATCATCTCCGGACAATACTGTCTTCCCTGGGGAGTTATCTCCCACGGAAGATCATAAACAATTTCAAGAGCTCTTTGCGAGGGTTGTGCAGTCTCAGGGTATTCAGACTACGGACATACAGCAAAAGCAACACCTCTTGTTAAAGAACCTGCAGTCGTCACAGAAATCCAAACTGGCTCTGCCCTTTGATGAAGCGATCTTGGAAATCGCAAATGATATATGGCAGACCCCTGCTGCTTCTTTACCGACTAACAAGAGGTCAGATAAGAAATATTTCATAAACCAAAAGGGTATGGACTTTTTGTTTACACATTCCCAGCCCAACTCCCTCGTTATGGACGCCGCCCAACAGAGATCAAAGACGACTCAAAATAAAAATACTGCAAGTGACAAAGAGGCTAAGCGCCTAGACATTTTAGGTAGAAAAGTATACTCTTCTGCCACTTCAATTCTCCGAATGTGTAATTACGCGGCTCCCCTCGCGAATCATGACTTTGACAATTATTCAAAATTAGTCCCTCTTTTAGAGCACCTACCAGACTCTAAGCGCCAAATCTTAAGGGCAGTAATACAGGAGGGCTATGCAATGGCCAGAACAGCATTGCAGATTGCCCTGGACACAGTTGATGCAGCAGCTAGGGCCACAGCTACTGCTGTAGTTATGCGTCGTGGGTCCTGGTGACACCAAGCCGCTGCTCCGAAAGAGTTGTTAAACAAGGTAGAAGACTTACCCTTTGATCGTCAGTCTCTCTTTGCCCAGTCCACTGATCAGGTGTTCCACTCGGGCAAAGACTCCCGTACGACACTTAAAGCGCTTGGGATGTATACGCCTCCGTATAAGCGTAAGAAGTATATGCCCTATAACAAACAGAGACCCTTCTCTTATGCAACATTCCGTGACAAGCCATATGAGCAGCAGAGGCCAAGACAACGCCAGCAGAAACGAAGACAACAGCCTGGCAAAACATCTGGTCACCAGCAGGGCCGGCAACAAGTTTGATGCCTCGGTCAAGGGACTGCGTACCACCCCTTTGCTGGGAGCGTCATACGACCAGAGAGCTTTGTTCCATCATCGGCTAAGACCTTATCAGCATCGCTGGTCTCTGATTTCCACCGACCGCTGGGTCACCGACATAGTTGTTTCAGGATATGCCATCCCTTTCAACTCAATCCCCCCCCCACTCCCCTTCCTCCCCGTCCCTTTTCAGGGACCCCTATCGGGAGAATCTTCTACAGCAAGAGGTGCTTCGACTATTTACTATAGGAGCTGTGGAGAGGGTACCCATTCAGTTTCGGGGGAGAGGCTTCTATTCCTGGTACTTCCTCGCCCAGAAGAAATCAGGGGGTTGGAGGCCTATCCTGGACCTACGTCGACTCAACCGTTACCTGCGGAAACAAAAATTCAAAATGGTCACGTTAGCATCTATCATTCCGGCTCTCGACAAAGGGGATTGGTTTGCGTCCCTCGATCTTCAGGACGCTTACTTTCACATAACAATACACCCAGCTGTCCTTCGCTTCATGGTGGGTTCAGACCATTACCAATACCTGTCAGCAGCGCCACGGGTGTTTTCCAAAACCCTG